AACCTTGGAGCTAATTTGACTGTCCATTCAATCCCTCTACTAAAGCACGTTCTGTCAATTGTGTTAATAGGTAATCCCATTGTGATACCAGGCGAGCCTTTTGCCTAGCTAGCAATTGCCCGAAATTTGAATCCTAATAGTAAAGGCAAACCCTTTACAATCAATAAATTGATATCATTTTAAACGATTTTTTTCTTAATGTGCATGTTTTCTTGCCAATTTGTTCGGTAACAAAAATATCTTGTTAAATAATCATTCTTAAGATGTGTACTTGAAATGTAGAAAAAAAAACAAATGTCAAAATAATAATAACAAAAAAACTCATAGAGATCATTCTCTAATTGAAATTTATATCATTATTGAAACCTAAATTATTCAAAACATTATAGTAATATGATTGGTAGCAGTGGTTTGACGATTGACTGCAGCAATATTTTAATATGTATTTAATATTGAAGTTAATTTCGTACATGGATTAAATCATAGCGGGATCTATAAACTGTTACGAGACTGTTAGACACGTAGGTATTAAAAACTATTTTTGTAAATACACAATAATGGAAATACAAAAATCCTAACCGACCAACATATTAACAAATTTCTACCAAAACTTTCGTTTCTATTTTAATAAGCTAACCAACATGAAATTAGATAAGATCGTCATTATGAATCTAATATCCACACACAATATTCGCTCGTCCCTAATAATATCGAAATTGCCAATTTGTGTAGATTATCTCATACAAAAAGCCAGCCATGCATGAAAGATCACGATTTCAGTTCCCCGCTTGACAGAATCCCTAATTATTATGGTCCTTGACATGAGAGGTCAGCTGTAGGAATGAATCGACCTAAATTATTTACTTAACCTCCTACTGAATTCAAAAGGCTGGCAAAAGGATAAACGATTAAAATATTGGTGCCTTAACTGGCTTTCGTCATGCTCTATTACTTTGCAAACGGAACGCGAACTTTTTAAAGGTTTATTTGCTTATTATTCTTAACTACCTAATATTGTTATTTTTTTTTTTGTATACGGTAGAGAAGGCACATGTAGCAACCGCTTATTGGCTACTTAGTTTGTAAGGATGCTATTACTTACACAATTTGCGTGAACCTTTTTGTGTTTTACAGAGTCGAGACACAAATATACTATAATACAGTATAATAAACAGGAGAATAATAAGATTTCTTGACTACCCAATCAACCATTGTCATTGCGATTCCCAGTAGCATTCATTCAGTTATAACTTTAATAGCCGTCCTTAATTTATTGCAAATAATTTTGCATATAGTATTATGAGAACTTAACACCATGCATGTTGGATTTATTAATGCATAATATGAATTCAAAGATCCTTATATATGAATAAACTTTATGTGCCCACAAACCTCAATACTGCAGATACGAGAAATGCATGGTAACGAGATAGGGGCATGTCAAATATAAAGTTAAAGTAAGATGAACGTGGCTCCAATGTAAACGTTCTAGAAAATTCTATGACAACCCTAGTATTTCTTTAGAATCAATGATAAGATTACGGAATTTGACAATGAATAGTGACACGCAGCTTAAGACATAGCAACGACATTTTCTTGTCACTGAATTTTTAACATTTTGAATGGAAATTGTGCTGTCTCGATCTTGGAACGTGTTCACTGTGTACAAGCACCTCCTACGAGTTCTCGAACAGATTTATGAACGAATACCACTTACTCACGAAACAAAATATAAGTAAAATCGAATTTAAGGATATTCCATTTTCAAATTTAATGTTGCCAGAAAACGCCTCTTAATTGAATGCAGCACCTGAAGAATGTAAGAATAAATCTAAGCGGCCAGTGCCAACTGAGACTATTAACAAAACTAATAACACAGGATGTTATAATTTCACTTCCAACCATAACATACATAGACGTACTACTAGATAGATAGATACACATAAAACTGTCATCCCATCAGACAATAGAACTCACAGTACCAACTACCCTCCATTTGGTACTAAACCTTCATTTATTTTAACTGTGTTACCTGCATGAGTGAGATAGTGCGTATAATCCTATGATTTAGTGAGCATTGCGCTTCGTTAGTTGGCAAGCCGAGATCAATATAAATGCGAGTTTTGTGACATCCCGTGGTTTTGCTTGGCGTTTTTAAAGCGGGGGCTTATGTTTATCGAATCGAAGCGGTAAAGAGATTGTTGGTTCCGTTTTGGATTTTAAGCAGCGCTTTATGAAGATAAAAGCCGCTTTGGAATTAACAATGTTGTTATTTTGATCATACTTCAGTTATAAGGATTACATTAGAGTATATTTTTAGCTGATGCTTTTTCAAGGTCAGGCTAATTTGGAGTACCTATAGAATATGAATATTTTTTGGAAAACTTTTATTGTTTGGGTTTCCATGGTACTAATTTATTATTAGTATTGAAAATGTAAGGAGTGTTTTCTTTTTATACCTATTTAGATTTAGTTTTAGCGACCCGCTGTACTATGATGGTAAAAAATAGCATAATTATGGTGTACAATGTCATTCAAATCCGTTTAGTAATTTTTAAGTAATCGGTACATACAAACAAATGAAATATTAGTAGGATATTTGAAATGTTGTTTTTCATAAAGAAAACTTAACTTGAAACTCAAAGTTGCACACATTTTTATTTCTTGTCTTTAAGTATACAAATATAAAATACAAGTTAAATACTCACAAGTATTTCGTCGTTGGATATAATTTTTTTGATCCAAAATAAAAAAGTACAAAATAGACGAATTTTACAAATAACGTCTACTATGGTATAATTCTTCAAATATAATTATATAATATATTACATACTACTTTATAATATTATAAAAAACAAAAAAAAACTATTAATCTTTCTATCTTTTCAATACAAAATCAATACTAATCACTATAAAACTTATTAGATTGTGCCTACAGCTTATCATGTAATATTTTCGACCAGATTACTCGACTAGTAGACACGATTATTAACTGAGAAAAGCTCGAAAAGTTTCAAGTCACAACGGGACTCTTATTCATGAGCAGTTATTCGCGTAAGTCGTTATTTTCAATATAGTATGTCTCACCATGGTTATTATTTAAAATAATGATAACTCTAAATGTATTGTGTGCATCTGTATGATTTAAGCAGTTTTTTTATATTCAACAGAAGTAAATGTATTAAGAAAAGTTTTTCTTATATATATTTTTGATATCTCTAAAAAAATAATTTAAATATTAATATAAACCAAAAAATTAACTTATAACACAATAATAGAGACTACGAATTTACAGGATTTCGTGTGGAAGTCGTGAACGAAACGAACGAAAAATATAGATATAAAGGTATATGATTATATCGAGTAACCTTGTCCAATAATCGACGTATAGGACTATGCAACCTAAATTTTTATTTAACAAGCCAAACGATACAATATAATTAATTAATTAAAACATTTTCCATTTATTTTTCAGATTTCAATAAATATTTTCGGGCTCCTAAAATATAATCTTCGATGCAAGACTCCCAGTTGATTGTTTTCACGTCAAAATTAAATATTTTTTTATCTGCAGGTGACATTGTCTTTAAGAGGTTCCTTATGTTGTCGTCAGAAAATTTCCATTCGTTTAATAGGAAGAATTTAACGGCATCAACCACTTTCTTAAGTCTTCTTTGTAGTGTAATTTGTCTGTAAAATAAAAGTACCTAAGTATAATAACGTTTTAGATTTATAACGAAATAAATGATGCATGCTACTAGCGACATCTGTCTGCAAGTATGTCAACCTATTCGATCTGCCATTGTTTCTGGTACAAATAAAAACCATTTTAGTCAGTGAAAAATCCACGCGTTTCATTATAACGTCAATTCATTATTTTAGTAAGATGAAAAATTATTGTTATAGCTAAAAATAAGGATGATTGGCAGGTAACAACTGTGTGCTTTTCGCGAAGTTACCTAATTCGAAAAGCAGAATTGTGTCATTGGGGGTATTTCTAACCCTGTGTTCTAACCCATATCGATCTTCCAATCTTTAACAGCCTGTGCCTTCTCTAATATTACGGGTGCTTAGGAAAACTGTAGAATGAATCGACGTCGGTGGTATTTTTTTTTTTAAGAAAAACTTTGCCCCACACTAGGATTTTCTCCTGTGTCGTGGGTGCGTTCACAAACATACAATTTCACGTACACATGACACCCAGACCCGAAACAACAATTTGTGGATCACACAAGGTGTTGTTCCGTGCGGGAATCGAACCCGCGACACGTCGCACGGCAGGCAGTTGTCCAGCCACCGCGCCAACCGTGCAGACGCAGTGCAGTTATTATATTAACCGATAGGAACAGTTCAAAATAAAAGCGTAGGTACTCTTTTAACTTTCCTGGTATTACAAGTGTAGCTTATCTCACACCATTTAAATTGACGATACCGACGTTTCAGCTGATTAAATATCTCTATGACTTGAAAGTTTTTCTGAAGACATAATAATTATGCTGCATATGGAAGATTTGTGAAAATCAACAGATATTGTTGACAAATAAATATCCTGCAACGATCTTCAAAAAACTTTACAGCATAATATCTTTATCGCAATAGATTTTCTTAGATTCGATTATTTTTTTCGGTACTTATTTCGTATCATTTAAATTTAAATACTACACATTATCATAGACAAAGAAGTCCTTAAAGAAAACCAAACAAAATATGAGAAAAAGAATTCCATATAAAATAACGTAACAAATATTTAAGTAAAAAAGGTTCACATACGTTGCTTTCCTTCCAGTTAATATACACCATAAATCAATCAGGTACGCCGGTACAATTTGTAGAAGGAACGTTATTAAAGCATATAGGAACACGCTTGGTGTGAACACAAGAAAGGGGCAGGGCAGCTCATCTGAAAAAAGATTTTAATATATTCATTTTATTTTCTGGAAACCATTTATTGTTATATTATTTTACATATTACCTCATTAGTGTAGCATACAATAGAACACCTAGCCAAGGGTTTGAATATAGATTTCAATGACGTACAAAACACTATTGAAGTTTATTTTAACAGCTATAAGTGTGGGAGAGCCAAACTTCGGCCTGAATGGGTTGGCTTGACCGAAATGATACCACGGCCTCACAGAAACAACCACAGCGTTGTGTCTCGCCGTGTGAGTGAAGTTACCAGAGTCCCAATCCCTCCCCGTGCCCCAGTCCTTCCCAATCTTTAAATATCCAAAACCGTTATCCCTAAAAAACCGGCAATGCACTAGTAACTGCTTTGGTATTGCTGGTGTCCATCGGCGGCGCTGATTGCTTATCATCAGATAATCCGTCTGACAATCCGTTCGACCTGTAAATAAAATATAACCCAAGACCCCTCAAACAATCAAACAGTCCATAAATCAAATAAAAATAACTAAGACTACAATCTGAAGTAGCTTCTTCTACCTAACTACTGAAAAACGTATAAAAAATAGATATAAGTATCTATCAGTTCATTTTATAAGGTTACGAAGCCGTAAATACAAACTTACTCAAAGAGTACTTGAGCGCCACTTTTCTGCTAATAGTGCTCGCTTCATCACAAGTGATGGGGTTCGAGGTTCCAGTACAACAGTTGTACACTTTAATTTCTTTTGACCTGTAAAATAAATTACATTTATTTATTTTACAAATAAAGACAAGGACTTATATTAATGTCTATTTTTAATCGATTTCCTTAAAGTATTCTTCAAATTCTTAAAACTTGAAGCTTAAATCAACTGAATAAGTTCGCTTTTTGTGTGACAAAGTACACCATTTTTAAGTGATGATAAAATGGTAAGATTTAATCTTGAATCCAGCGGGAATACGGGTGCTAGTATTAATGTACAGCGACCTGTGCAGTCTTCTGCACAGGATATGCATAAGATGGTATGGGGTTGTTTTGACTTAGTAAGAGTCTCTTCTTCTCACAGCCAACAAATGACGGAGAGACTTTTCACTTAAAAAACCTTAATCTAGCATTGCAAAACTTATACAGCACATTTATACTCATTAGAAAAAAGCCAAAAAACGTTGTAAAACTAATAAACAAACAAGAAACAGATACCTAAATCACAAAACAAGGTAATACGAAAAAAATAGAGAATTAAAAAGAAAACTGTTTGATCACTTTAATATCGTTCTTTTCGAATTGATCTCGTTTTTTGAAAGAAACTGACATACATACATGAGCTATGTTTTGTTTCGGAAATGACTAAAAAAAATGAAGCACGGTTTAGTTCCAAAGACTTCCCTAAAAGTACCAATAATACGTATATTTTTCAAACACTTCTCGGACTTAGTTTTTCTCTATTAAATCTCTGAAAGATAGCAATAAATCAAATATACTTACTTCTGACATTCAGTAGCGGCTACAACAATGAGATTTGTGACGATATCAACAGGTACTAAATCTGTGATGTTATTTCCCCTCCCCAGTACAACTCTTAAGACTCCAGCTGGCATACCGACGAATAATCCCGTAGAACCATTCCACGTGTCTATCCATCCAGGACAGGGTTCCTTAATGGAAGACATCACTGAAAAGAAATAAAGAAGGTGTTGTCACGCATTTTATCCCCGAAAGCGTAAGCAGAGGGTAACATATTGCCACATTGACAATGGACTTCCACTTTTTAGCTAAGTTATGAGTCCTATGTAATAGGATATGAGCATAAGTACCTACATACATAATATGCCATATACTGAGTACAATTCTAGACCCTTAATAACATGTTGCATGATCCTAGAATCCTCTCTTGCTCGACTTTAGTCGACCAGCGAGGCATTCAAACGAAATAAAAAAATATTCTTAGAATAAAGTAGTTTTATCCTAAACAAAAGATAGGCAAACCTATCCCATATAACTATCATTGGACTTTAGCAAAATAAAATAAGTTTTCTTGTATGTTAAAATAAATTACAGCAAAGAAAATTCCAACTAACAGTTGGTGCATAAATATCCTATCGAACTCATAAAGCTTTACATTATTTTACGGCTTAGAACCTACACAGTTTTAATGGGTTATAACTAGAAAACTATCTCTATTACAAAATGGCTGGCTTCGCTAACTTGCATAACAAATATGAAAGCTAAACCAGTGCACCAAACACCTGAGCTCGTCTGCATAATGTACACGCGCCTTCAACGTAGTATCTACTTGTATCTATTTTGTTCTCTTCCGAATATTCCAAGAACTTGTCTAAAGTATTCCTCGGTAATCACTATATAGTATACAACAAAGTCGCTTTTTGTGCTACATCATAATAATCATCATCAACATCCCTATGAATCTTCAAAAATAAAATACAGTATGATTTGAACGTGGTTGTGCAGTTTTTTTAATAGATAGAGTGATTGAAAAGGAAGGTTTATGTGTATAAAAAAAATAGTGAAAAGCTTTTAGTATCAGCATTAAACGGGTCGTTAGTAACAACATATTATACTTAAGACGGAACTGTTTTAGTCTTAAATTATTTGAAGAGTTTGTGAGAAAATTTAATCTGTAAGTACCTATGGAGGGTCTGACGATGGCAGCCGGTAAGTCTTCGCACTGCTTCATAACTTGTTGTTCGGCCAAAGCTTTTGAGAAAGTGTACGTATTAGGCTTCCTTCCTGAAATTATTTATAATTTAATAGATCTTCATTCAGAATTATTACTTATCTATCGTACTTTAAAGTCGTATTGATTTGATAAACACAATATGATTGGGTGATTTTATGGGAGTGCAAAAATGGCAATACAACTATGATTACACCATAAACTAAAACAACATATACGTAAAAAATAAAGACCATATTGAATAATAAATCAAAGAAATACAATATTTCAAAAATGGAATACTATTGCAAAATGGAATGGAAATTCAGTTGAAATTCAAATTAGAAAAAAAGAATAACTTACCCATAAATGCACTAACGATCGCGTCGTCATGTGAATACCTATCGGCAACATGTCTTGCTTCTTCTAAATTAATTGGCATTGGATACACTACTTCGTTTATTTCCTTTCGATCTGAGTTCGTGAATGCAGTCGAAACGTGAACAAAGGCCTGGGAAACGAAATAGATGTGGATAACAGTGATCATATTCCATTTGTTGTATTGGATTTAAGAGATAATTAGTCATGTTCTGATTTTAAAAGGAACGGTTTTGTTCAAATATTATTATACATCACGAACAGTGGAATCAAATATTAAATTGTAATTCTTGTAAATATTTTGTTAGTGAACTGTTGTGTTATTAAAAGTTGTTTTATACCAAAGATATTAAAGTTGCTTTTTTACAAAGCTAATATATGTATTGTACAATGATACCTGTAAATTTTTCATCCGACGACACAATTCAATGACATTCTCCGTTCCATTTACATTGATTTTCATTGCATCTTTTAGCGGTAATTTGAAAGCAACTGTTGCTGCCAAATGGAATACAACCGACACCTGCAAAGAATACTTTATTTTATTTCTCAACAAGGACATTAATTTACAGAAATATGAACAACGAAATCTCGTATGAGGTAATACTAACCTAATGAAATCAATATTTTTTGTGAAATGGTATGGAACGGGAAAAAATACAAAAAAAAAACTAAAAACCTTCCAGTGGTTTACCCACTAAAGAAAAACATGAGTCTCTTGAACATATTATTGTAGTGAAAATTCGAAATGAAATGAAATTTTCGAATTAATATTTAATAGATTAAAGTAGATTTATATACTTGTGTTTCACTTCGTGTGATAATCAACAATAAAGAAATAAACGAAGATTTAGAATCGAATAAAAAACTGATTTTAAAATACTGGCATCGATCACTAATTCTTTATTAGTGATCGATGAATACTGGGATAAATTCAGTTAAAATTAACCGCCGTACTCACAACCACTAATATAATGATTACTTTATCCACTACTCGACAGTTGTATTTAAAATAAAATCGTTACTAAGGAAAAGACTAAGTAGACAATAAATGTCTCTGAGTACGGCAGTTATGTAGGGATTCATTGGAGTGACTACACAGCGTTGTGGGTGCTATCACAATAATATACAAGGGCCGTGGCCCAGAGCAGGAGAAGGCATGGGGTAGTTCCTAGTCAGTAAGAGTCTAACACTCCATCTCTTCCCAAAATAAGTGATAAGTGCAAGAAACAAATGAAAACTAAAATGAATAGTATATTTACCAAAACAAAATCAAAATAGTTTAAAACTAAAGACATAATATAACAGAGATTATATATACTTACAAAAACCAAAACAGTATTGTCTCTTTGAGGCATAGGTAAATTGATGACATAATACTATGAATTGAATGAATGAAAACCTACTGAGATCGGAACTGAATTTAATAACAGTAAAGAATTTAACCTAAATATAATATAAAACATACGCCAACGGTTAATGGGTCTTAAAAACGTTACAGTGAATGCATTTATTTCTTAGCTGAGTCTGACCAGTGCCGGGTTTACTCCTATAATGGTTCTAGTTGTTGGAGTGGAGTATGGAATAATAATTAAATGTATAACATTAATTCATCAATCCCCAAAACGAACGCCGTTCGCGCACATGTAGTCTTATTATTGTGTCTGTTATTACCACGATTTAAAGATTAAGCAATAATATACACTCAAGGGCTGATTTTTCAATGGTTTGATAAAAGTTACCTGGTAATAATTATTATAATGCTGTTACGTCAGAATGTTTCTACTCGTATAAGACAGTGACTATTAAAAAACTCAGCCCGCAAAATAATAAAACGAACAAATCTCATTACGTAGTTATATAAATATATTACTTGGAAAATATTACTTATATTTTTATCTACGAACCTCATTCTCCAATGTTTTTAAAACATCATCCTGTAGTCCAAGATTTTCACGCGTAATGTCCCCGCTGATGACCACAATCTTTTTCAGGGCCTCGTTTCCACTTTTTTTTATTCTATCAAAAACCTAAAAAAAACAAGCACTGGTGTTTTAAAATTGATGAGTTTTGTTGCTAACAATATAATACTTTTAAAGTAATGAAATTCTGGAAAAAATATTTACAAAACAATCTGGTGAATGCATCGAGCTATTTTTAAAATGAATTATTTTCGGGACATAACTTAAGAGGGACGGATTTAAATTAATTATTTTGTTTAACGGCTCAAGTAAGTGTTTGAAGAATTGAGTTTGACTCAAGAGGATTTATTTTTATAGTTTTATTTCCCGTGTTTAGATACCTTGTAGGTAAATTCCATTATTAATTTCCATTCCACTCAGAAGAATGTCGAAAACTAAGCTACTAGTTAGTACCTCTTAATAATGTTGGTATATTATAAAGAGGTAAAATTTGTTAGTTTGTATGTAGTGGGTAATTTTTGGAACCGCTGGTCGGATTGCCAAAATTCTTTCACTGATAGATAGCTACAATGTTCCTGAGTGCTATAAGATATAAAATAAATATATCGAAATTACATCATTAATTTCAAATCTCTTCAATTTTAAATCATCAAATTTTACTATGTACAAGTAAATTTTCAAGTGTATATGTCAACTCGTCATTAAGAAAACTGCAAGCACTTAGGAATGAAAACGTCTAGCAAAAAATTTCGTACAAAGTCTAAAAAGGCTGGTCGAGTCAAGTCCACAGCTAGTTAAAATCAAATTACATGGGAGTTGGTATTCGTAATAACTGTCCGAAACTTATTCCTTTTTCAAAATTTTAAATTCATATTCAAAACCTATACTTACTGGCGTGCTAGTAATGCGAGCCAGTCGTTCACTGGCCTGTTTCCCATACTTATCACGTACTAGGACATAAATTTTGTCAATCCCGCTGCAGCTGTACAGCAACTTTTCTATTAAAGTCTGAAATTATTAAACACGCTGCTTTGAATACTATTTAAAATGAAACTACGTGCTTAAAGTTGGCATTCATATGACACTGATGAGTTGTAGAAGTACATTTTTATAAATTGTGTTATAGCGCCATCTATGGACACCTGCAACGCTAAAGTTTCAATTGCGTTACGGTTAGTTTAAAGGAATAATTAAACGAAATTTTAAGCGGTGGTCATTTTTCGAGTTCCATAGCCTAATGGCAAAAACGTAACCCTTATGGATTCGTCATGTGTGTCTATCTGTCCTTCCGTATATCACAGCAACTTTTTCCGAAACTTAAAGAACTCTACTATTAAAACATGGCAGTTCTACTATTTAAATGGCATTAAAATTTTTCTTACAAAAATAGAGAAAGTATTTTTTTTCGTCAAACAAATTAAAATTCTCAAGTTTTTGGTATTTGTGGATAGGTCTTCAAAAAAGATATTGAGGTTATTGATACCATATTTCTATGTCACCAAAGACTAGGTTTTGATTGTAAAATCAAGGACCTTATAATAGGATAAAATCTGTCTACAAACCACAAAGGTATCCTAATAGAAATTAAATGTAGACTAAAAACTTCTTCTCAATTCTGCTACGCTACGGCTACGATTTTACAAAAAACAAAAAATCTACACGTCCACATAAATATTACGAATTTAAATTAATAATCAAATTACATTTTAATATTTAAATGTATCATACCTTACCAACAAATCCAGTACCACCAGTTATAAACACAGATTTGCCAACGTAAAACGTAGCCACGTTAGAATAATTGGCCTTAGACATTTTTAATTATGACACCCTCAATAAAAAAAGAAATTATATAGACTTAGTTTAATTTGCAGGGCTGACACACATTAAATGTCACCCACTTCACAAGGAATACTAATGAAAAGTCAAAGAAAAAGTACCTAATGAATAGAATATAATAATATACTTTCTAAAACAAAGGAATGATACTGATGTGAGACAGACGTTGTTATAACTGGCCTCGGGAAAAGCAAGCCATTCATTAGCATCAATGTATTTTTTCACAGAGAATAAATACACAATAATTCAAAACAACACACAATGCAAAAATACACAATCACGAACACAATTGAAAAAAAAACTATATTGATTGAAAGATCGTCTGCTTCGCTCTTTCAAAATCAAAATTCTAAACTGATACTTTGCTTTGAGTAGCAATTTATAGTAACTGACTGTTTAATCGTACCCAAAAAGTTTTGTAATATTATTCATTGACAATTTTTATTTCTTCTAAGGGCCTTTATGAATAACTTTGTTTTTTTTGTCAAATTCCACGTTAGTAGCTCTCTGATGCGATGTAAATTAGGTACATTAAAAAATTACATATATTGTCAGAAAGTGTATATTTGAAATTAAAAAAAATAGTTTTATTCATTACTTTCTCTACCTCCTCCCAATAATGCCATTTTTGTGAGGGAAATATCATCACATACATAACTTCACTAAAACAGAAGACAGTCATTCTAACGGACCAAAACCATCCCGTGCCTTCTCCTGCTCCACCGGTACATAATTGCGCTTGCATCTGCTACTGAGCTTTCAAGAGACTCAGTCTCTTATATTCCAAACATAAAAGGCGTCTTGGTCATTCAACTTTTATAACGTTTGCAGGACAAATTGCATCAAAGTCATCATCATCGTCATCATCGTCAGCCTATAATTTGCCCACTGCTGAGCAAAGGCCTCTTCTCACACGGAGAAGGTTTGAGCATTAATCACCACGCTTGCTCAATGCGGGCTGGTGATTTCAAACTTACAATTAGAATTTATAAGTCCAGGTTTCCTCACGATGTTTTGCCTTCACCGTTTGTCAGTGGTGTCTAAATAATCATAGAAAGTACATATAACTCGGAAAAAGTCACATTGCATTAAAGTGTTTATGCAAACTATGCATACAAATATTTTAGCAAATACAGATTTGTCCCCAGTATATTATATTTTATAGAGTCTATTTGTTTTACTAGTATTCGTTAAATAATTCACTTTTATAACAAAGGAGATATTTTAATACAAGACAAGTGCTGCCATCTATGTCATGATCTGTGAAAATGAGTGGAGCGTGAATGTTTCCAAGTTACGCTGAAACGTGCGAGTACACAAAATTCCCAACAGATGATACTTATTCTTATTAAACAGAATTATTGTTGGTCTCCATTAATTATTAGTGAATAACTAGATTTATCTAGTTTTATACGGGAATAGTGTCAACAGCCAACCGAAAGGATCTCTAAATATTGATCGTAAACATCGAAGTACTAGTAAAATGAAAAAAAAAAACATAAATATATTTAAAAACGATTTAAGTACAAATTGATGGATATAAATAGCGGATTAAAGTACACAGTAGTACAAGCATGTAAAAACAGGTAAAACATTAATTTGACCATTTGTCAAATTTAACCTTGTGAATCATAATGAGTACTTAACTAGTTTTCATGCGACACTATGAGTCCCCCTTGCTATTTCATTTAAGTATTATTCCTTAAATTATCATAATTATTTAACTACTTCGAAGAGCTATACGCCGGCAAAAACTGGGCAGCGTCGACCGTCTGGAGACCGGAGGCCACGCGACGTCCTCACAGAAAACCGTAAACATAGCTTGAGTTTTGTAAAACGAAGACTATCTATGCTTTATTGGAATTTTCAATTTAAATTTTTTATTGTAAATTTCTTACAAATAGGTATGTTAGTTAATGCAATTATAATAATCACTAATATTTTACTACATCTATTGTTTTTTTCAAGGCTAGTCTGACCAATTTATTTAGGTAAGTACAAATAATTTGGAATATTTTCGTCGAGATTATTGAGTGGAAACTATCCAATTTAAATAATTACTAAATTAACAGTGATTTAAATTTAAATTTTCCTCGCGCACTGAAGATCAAATGCGTCGATTAATTCGCCTGCTCATTTTATAATAGCAATCAGTAGTATTACATTACATTATAACACATTTTTCAAAAGGCGTCATATTATTTACTGCTTTCCTAAAACAAATAATATTTAATAGTAGTTACAATAGTATACTATGGTACAAGTGTGTAATGTCGGTGATTACCACTGAGACGCACTGAGCCCCGAGCTGGTGGCGAGGATCTTAAAGAGCCGAGGAGTCCTACCACTACATTTAATTTTATCCCAAATACAAGAATCATGAAATAGGATTAGACGTTATATAAGTAAACGTCACATGTTATTATTAGGTACACAAATCCTGTAACTGTTTATTTGGGAACGTATAATCAAAAAGTGATCAAATTACTTCTCCCTTCCACAGTCGGGCCGCGGTACAATATTAGGGATGATCTTGCCACGCTCGGACTGTAACTCTATCTGTTAAACTGGGCTTAAGAAACAGCTCAGAACACTATATATTTTCAATCTCTATCCTAATATTATAAATATGTAGAATTTGTTGGTTTGTTTTTGTTTGAACGCGCTTATTTGCGGAACTACAGGTTTGGATGGAACAATTATTTTTGTCTTTGACAGTCCATTTCACGAGGGGCTGTAAAACATCACCTTATAATCTTGGAGATGCAGTGACATCCCAACACGACTTAGTAGTTGATAGGATTAATAATAAATTCATGTTTGGGATATTTTATAGACCTTTCAAAGGCGTTCGACACTGTTCCTGTCTCTTCACTATTGTCAAAACTAGAAACCATCGGAGTTCGAGGCATTGCTTTGTCTCTATTTAGTAATTTCCTAACCGATAGGTTGCTGTCCGTTAAGATTGGAGAGCTTTAGACGCAACTAATGTGATGTCGGCTTGCCACAGGGAAGTCTTCTCGGTCCCTTCTTTTTCAAATAGGTAGTCAATGAACTCTGCCAATTATTCTTTCCCTCCACAAAAATCTCAGTGTAGGGCGCTGTAGTTTCCCGTGTATCACAATAAGTATATCCACTTATGAGTTTTTGTTAATCTTAAAACCGCAATTCAGCGTAAGTAGCAACAGTACGGCTCCATCTCTTGAGGAATTGGGTACTTAACTAATTTATTCAAACTAGACGGGTGATGTATGATAGGGTTTTGGTAATTTTGGATTGCGCAATCCAATTTTATTTTATTTTTGTTGGAAAAAAGATACGTTTAGAATAATAAAATATACAAACAAAGTAAAACAATGCTTGCATTTACAGTTAAATTACAAAATAGATTCAGATTTTTTCGTAAAATAATTGACCTAGAATGTATTTATAACTTACTACTTTCGAGATTTTCCACATATTTTCTAAACTTATATTTCAAAAGTTAGAGGGGACATATTTTTTTTTTACTTTTAATGCGATTATTTCCATTACTATTTACACTATCAAAAAGGATTTGAATAATCACCTATTAATTAAATACCTATCTAATAATATACATATCACACGTTAGGGTCGAAATAAAAAAACCCTCCCTACTTTACCCAAAGAAAATACTTTTTTTTCTCTTCGTCGGCGTGGCTGAGATTATCCAGACAGATAAACAGACAGACTTCTGTCTGTCTGTTTATCTGTATATCTGGGACATATTTTTTTTTACTTTTAACGCGATTATTTGCATTACTGTTTACACTATCAAAAAGGATTTGAATAATCACCTATTCATTTTTAAATACCTATCTAATAATATGCATATGACACGTTAGGGTCGAAATAAAAAAAAACACTCCCTACTTTCCCAAAGAAAATACTTTTTTTTCTCTTCGTCGGTGTGGCTGAGATTATCCAGACAGACAAACAGACAGACGGACGGCGGGATGGTGAAAGTATAAGAGTTCCAGGTTTACTACGGATCCCTAACAAAAAAAAACGCTTAGATATTGACACTGTTGTCACCTACTGACCTTATTCGAGCGTTGAAGCTATTACGGTGGCAGCTGAGCAATTATAACATCGATCCTATGAGTAAATACGCAGTTAGAATAAAAAGATAAAAACGTAAAAGAAGAACCTTTGATTAAGACATTAGATTGACGTGATTGGATTACCGAGCTCAAGATACTGAATTGAAATATTTTAATTTCGGAAAAAAAGAAAGTAATTGATATTACTAATCCGAACTGTCTCAACGGAGGGGATTATCTTTAACTAAGATGTCTAGACAGTTTCAATTATTGTGAATTCAGATTACCTCGTTGGAAAGTGGTCGTACACGCGACTACTGTTACAGTCTTGATTTTATTTACCGTGTGCAGCAAAAGTGTCCAGTGCTGATCAAAGGCCTCTTCCCACATGGACAAGGGTAAAGCTAATCACCACGCTTGCTCAAGGCGGATTGGAGATTTTAAATAAAAAATAAAAAAATATCAGACCACGTTTCCTCACGATGATTTCCTTTACCGTAGTCGTGTCAGTGGTGCCTAAAATAAAGTACTTACATATATCTCGGAAAAAGTTAGCTACATTGGTTCTTGCTAAGTTCCGAACTCACACAAGACCATAACCTCCGGGCTACCAGAAAGGAAAAGGATACCTACTTACCTACTTATTTTCAAATAATTCTCAGTAATGTCTGACACTGAGCCAACGTAATTGTAATTTTTAATTTTGAAAGTGAAACCAACTGTAAGATTCATCAACATTGACGCATTTAAATGTCTTATGGATTAGCAAATAACTGGAAGGATCACCTGATGGCAAGCAAATCAACGCCACTCACCGCCGGTTACGCGCTACCCTAGGGCAATTTTAAGTGTGTTGCCGGCCTTTCTAGGATGAGGACTTCAGAATTTGGGGATTAAAAATTTAGGACGAGG